AAAAGAGGCTAGGTAATAGTAAAGTTACTATCTTTGGGTTTTTGTCGCAACAGTTTGGAAATCTTAGATTTTGGTCCCTTATCACCCACATCTTCTTTTCTAGCTAAACTTTTTTCCTTTTGCTTATTTGACTCGTTAAAAGATAAAATATAACCCAAAATCGGCCCATTTATATAATTGAGGAGTTGATTTTTGTAACTAATTAAAACATCATATAATTACAAAGTTATAGTATCAACATAATCATCTAACTTTATAAGCGGTATATGATGCATACACTCCACTTTGTGTGACCTTCCAACTCTTTTGTTTTTAGCTTTAACTTTTTGATTTACCTCCTTGACATGTTAAATGATCAAATATAACCCAAATTGACTTATTTTTATTTTAAATGGGTCGAAACTGCTACATTTTTTTTGTCATTAGTAATCATCATTAAGGAGTATAATACTTTTATTCAACCATCTTTGAAGTCAAATTATTGCTTTTATTTTAAGAATTAGCACTGTAACTTGCATAATTTCTCAATATTTTCAGGTTACCAAATGCTCCCGACATGGAGATCTATTCGATGTACGGAGTCGGGATCCCAACCTAAAGAGCATTTGCAGTTTGTTGTATTATGATTGCTTTGTTAAACATTCATTATTGCCGCTAAAATGCAAAAATATCATCTAAGTTTGTAATATTTAAACGATTCTTCCGATTGGTTTAAACAGTAATGTAATTTCTTAGGCATTTCATTAAAATTATATGTACTTCTATTTATACTTAAAAATGTCCAGATTATTAACATATTTTCGCATGGAAGTTGTTGCATTATGATCATTTTAGAAATGCCACGACATTTACAAATTTCAATTAAGCCTCCACAGATTTCGCTAAACTTATTCGAACCCGCGCCAATGGCGCGGGAGGTTTTACTAGTTAAAGTTATTTTAGGTAGTTTAATGTTTCCTTATAAGTAAGTTGGGCAATTGTAGGTAGGGATTTAAAGAACAGAGCAAAACGGGTTCATGTTCATGTTCATTCATTTAAGGCTTAATATTGAACTGAACAAACGAATAACATGAATGCATAAACATATTGATCTTCTTGTTTGTGTTCGTTCATTTAATAACTTAATTTGTTAATGTTCGTTACTTAAGAAACTACTCATAAATCATAAATCAACTGAAGATAAACGTACATAATGAACAAAGGTTTATCACAACATCCAAACTATGATAAAGGTTTATCATTTTTAGCCCTTGTGGTTTTCCAACTTACATCTCTTCCGAAAGTTTTAAGTTCTAACCTTTATTGCCTTGGACTAATATATATTTTTCTAAAAGTAGCCATTATAAATGAACAAAAAATGAACATTTATATAAAGGAACGAACAAACATGAACAAACTTAAACAGACATTTACTAATGTAAATTAATGAATGAGATCATTGTTTGTCTTTGTTCATTTAATGAAACAAACAAAAAAATTATTCATGTTTGTTCGTTTATTAAATAAACAAACTTCAGACCGAACGGTTCATGCACAAAACGTTTAGTTCATTTACAACGCTAATCGTAGGGGTTCAAGAAGCTGCTATTCCCACTTTTACAACCACGATTTGCTAAGATGTGCTCACAAAAATTTAGTAAGTTAGCACTAATTTTGGTGTAATTTACAATGTGGTTACTATGCTTATGTAATGTTGTAATAGCATATGATCTTTGAAAATCTTGTTGGTCAAAGCACACAACATTTTTTTAGTGAATCATAAGCCTTATTTTGATGTCCTTACTTATTATATAAGGGTGGTTGATGCGTTGCTTAGAGCATCAACAATAGAGTTTTTTCATTTTGAAAAAGCTCTCTTCCTACTGTGAGGAGTTTTTTCACTTGAAGTTTTTTCAAGAAAGTTTGTTAATTAATTACAAGTTTTTCATTGAGCTTTTTTAACCATTATTGTGGGCCCATATATATTCAACCAATTGTAATTAGCCAATTAATACAAAAAGCCATACAATAGTATAAATAATTTTGATGAGTCACATATGGATTATGCAAAAGCTCTCATGCTGTGGGTATTATTTAAGCTTTTTGGGTTGGTGATATGCCAATGAAATGACATCAAAAAGCTTTGTAAAAAAAGCTCTCCTATTATAGATTATAGATGCTCTTAACGGGTTTGGTTATGACAAGACTTTAATAGACATTTTAGCCGTGTAAACAACATGACACTATGTTGACCATGTAACTACGCAATACACCGTATTAGTACGTTCTTATTTCCATTGAATTAAGTAATTTCCAACAGCCCTAGGGAGTTTTTAAGAATCATTGTTCATAAACCTTGTTATGAAAAAATGGGGTGTTACACAAACCATGTTGTGAAGCTTATCAAGCTAATAATTATAGAAACAATTATATTCTTCTCCATTCTCCTACATCTAGAATTCACATTCTGTATCTATGTACATATGAAAAATCAGAAGGAGATCAAAAGAAAGAAATTTATATATCAAAACTCACAATTTGGTAAACGGAGACTCTACTTCCGTTGAAGAAGTGGACACTGAAGTAGACAATGTTGGTGTTTGGTCAAAGCAAGTGCATTTTGTATCATGAATGGCTTGTTTCCTAGAGAAATCAAGTTTGGTACAAAACACACAATACCTTCCTTTAGACTGATCAACTTCTGAGAGAAATTCATCTTCATCTGAGCTTTCATCAATGTCTTGTGTCTCCTTTTCATCATGTTCATCTTGGTTGAATAACCCATAAGCTGCATAATGGATACCTAAAATCAGACAGATTATCTCCACAATCTTGTTTGTGTACTTGTCCCAGAAGTTTCTCCCTTGCTTAGACAACACGAGAGGCCCTATAACAATGGCTGCACCTGCCCCGAATCCCACTCCAGTGAATATAAACTGCCAATCATATCCATTAGAATCTTCAAAATTTGGTGCATTTTTTGATACGATTACACCTTGGCTAGTGCACCTTCTGTTTAATGGAAACCCGCATAATCCTTTGTTTCCTTCAAAGGAACCCTCCTCAAAAGTCTGAAATTGGGAGCCTGGTGGGATTCTTCCGCTCAATTGATTGTTTGATAGATTAAGGAAAGAAAGGAATGAAAGAGTTGTGAGCACTGATGGGATGACTCCATTCAGTTTGTTTGATGACATGTCTAATGATTCCAGCTGACTCAAATTTCCTATAGATGATGGAATTGAACCAGTGAAGTCATTATGTGATACATTGAGCATATACAGAGCAGTGAGTCTCCCAATTGTTGTTGGTATTTCTCCTGAAAAATGGTTGCTTGAGATATCAACGGATGTGAAGAGTGTCAAGATTTTCAGCAGCTCCAACTCAAGTCCTTTGATCATGACTGTCACAGTATCCTGATAGTAGAATTCATTAAGAGTTAAGACCTTGAAACTGAGGTGTTTCTTACTCGATTCTTCACCATCATCATTAACCATCATTGAATCCCATTGCCAGAAACAATCTGTAGGGACAGTTCCGTTGAATTCATTGTGAGCTATGTCTAGAATCTGAATCTTTGACCAGTTGTTGCGTTCTTGATCCCTACAACGCACAGACCCATGAAACTTGTTGTTTCGCAAAACAAGGACACGTAAACTCGTATTGTTACGCAAAAAGCATGGAAAAGTGTCGATCATGTTGTTGTTGCCAAGGTTTAAGACTTCTAGCATGTTGCAATTGACAAGAGATCCTGGGATCTCCCCTTCTAAACGGTTTCCATGCAGGTCTAGAGTGTTTAGACCACAGATGCTAGGGAATATTCCCTCGATTCTTCCACTGAGACTATTGCCACCCAAGTTGAGTACCCCAATACTGCCACCACCAGATTCGATCAAACATTGTGGTATCCTTCCAGTTAAATTGTTGTTTGACAAATCAAGAACCTTTAGGTAGGTAGCATTGCAGATGGATCCAGGGATCTCCCTAGTGAGTGAATTGTTAGAAACCGAAAAGAAATATGCATACAAGAGGTTTACCCCAATGGTTTCAGGGAGTGAGGAATTGAAAA